ACCTTTACACTTTCGGCCACCATCCACCACCAGCTTTCACGATACCGAAAACCCCTTTCATCGCCCACCACCACCTGCACCATTCCCTCATCAACACCCTTAAACCCAGCTGAACCACCACTTCCACCTACCAAAACCGCACCATCACCCACACAGTTACCATACTGAAATCCCACAACCCTTTCCATACTCAGCACAGCCGTTCCTCTAACACCAACTAAAAGCCCTGCCTCTAACCCACAACACCCGAAAACCAACCCCATTGCCATCAACCCAAAAAAAGGAACCACATCTCCTAGATTAGGGGAGAAGCAGCGCCAAGCAACACAGTCTAGCAAAAAAAAAAAAAGACGTCAGATTTTTTTTTTTAAAAAAAAGAGGAAACAAGCCAGGATTGACGACTAAGAAGAGAAAAGAGAGGATAAGGAAGAGAAAGGGGGAGAAGGTCATCTCGGCTGGAACCGACGAGGAGGTAGAACCGAAAAAAGAAGAGAGGAAGAAGAAAGAGCCTTCGGCGTTCGGCAGGAGAAGAAAAAAAGGAGAACAGGAAAGGGAAGAGAAGAGAAAAAGAAGGAGAAAAAAAAAAAGAGAGAGTGAAGGGGGGAGAATCAACGTTTGGGAAAGGTTAAAAAGAAGAAAAGAGAGAAGAAAGAAAGAAGGAAAGAGGAGAAGAAGAAAGAAGTGAAAGATAATAATAATAAAAAAAAAGGAGTTGACTGAGTCAAAATCGACCCGAACGGCAGGCCCGACTCGGATTACGCCAGCCCGGCCTAGACCTAAAAAGTTCGACCCGATCTGTTTTGAACGCCCAACCCGGTTTCTGTTGGTTTTTCAAGTTATAATTCAGTTTTTTATGAGTTTCAAATCAAATTCACCTCAAATATTTTTAACAATAACTACAAATTCAAGTCATAATGAATTCGACTTTAGATTTTTTCAGATTTAGATATTTTTAAATTTAAATTTTTTTAAATTTTAAACTTTTGATTTTTTAAATTCAAATTGATTTGAATTTGATCGATCAATTGAGATGAATTTTTAAATTTGTATCGATTTTGCAAAATCTAATCTATTACTAAATATTAAAACATTGAATCATTTTTACAAAGCATAATATAAATTAGTCAGGCTAGCATACTAAATGTTATTGTTAAATTTGTTATTCAACTTTGAAAATATTTTAATAACGAGGGAATATTAACAAGAAGAAGAATATTAGCGAAAACCAAAGCATACTTCAAAGAACATCTGCATGCATTACATAAAAAAATCAAGAAGCCATCTAGAGCAAACTTTATGACAATCCCTCCAACAATCACACTAGTAAAAGCATGCACCAAATTGTTTGTTTCACATTTTACACAAGGAACTGTCATCCAATACAATCACCACCAGCTAGACTTGTTATCAAGTTGATACATATAACCCCTCATACAAATTATTTCCACGAAAACCTATTGTTTTGTTGCTTCTGAATGGTATGTTCAACTACTTTTTTAACAGCACCAAACTCAACATTTTGCAGATGGCCAAAAAAAGAAACACACAGTTTTGAAGATGACATTTGTAGGCGCTAGTAACACAGAGGAAAGCAGCAAGCAATCCACTCCGACAGAAGGACTTTTTTCTAAACTGTTGTCATCTGCAAAATAATATATAAATAATAAAAAATGATATGATAATTAATGAATGAGATAAAAAAATAATTGTCCATAAAAATAAGTGATGTAAAAGAATTCAAACTATAACTTAATTTAATTATCTTATTTAGTTTTTTATATAGTCGAATTCAGAATATAAAATATAAAATTTAATGTGTTGTTATTGTCATATGCATAAATCATACATGAAAATGCTAATAGCCAAATTAACCACCAAACTTATATGAAATGATTATATTTTGTAGGAATGAACAAGAGGACCAAAAACCGATTTTGATACATAAAGTTTGCCTTGATTTGATTTTGGTTCAAGTACTAAATGTTTTCATTCAATTCGGCTCAATTTTGGATTCACGAAATCAAAAGCCAAAATTATGTTTAATCGAGTCAAATTGTAATTTGTTGTTATTTTATATTACTTTTTAATTTTCATTAAATAAAAAATATTTATTTTATTTTTAGATATGTACAAATAAATTAAAAAGCATGAGGAATTTGATTCGAGTCCATCCGAACCTATGGAATAGACCAAATACTGTACAATAATCAAATTTCCTTTTCGTAAATCAAACCAAACCGAAGTCACCTTGATATTTTGTGCATTTTCCATTTTGATCTCATATTAACCTATTATAACCAGACCTGCTAAGTTGTTTACCAGAAGCAAACATTGAATGCTGACTAATCTATTTTCAATCATCTTTTTCATTTCAGAGCTGGATCAGGGAAAAAAAAGAGACAATAAACCCTAAAATGTGGAAAAGTGGAAGCAATTATGGTGTAGGACATCTGTAGTTTCTTCATATTTTCTTTCTCCACCATCTTAATTATGGTTTAACTAGGATGAGAGCCCTTGCTCCACTACAGGAATTGTTAGAGAATCTAATATATATATATATATATATATATATATATATAATCCAATGCCAAATACATAGTATTTAACATTAGAGAGGTAGATAAAAGTAAGTAATATTAAGAGTTTAAACGTAGAGGGCTAATTAAGTTCAACGATTGAGGTAAAATCTATACATTTAAAGGGATGGTTTAAGAAGACACTAATGATCTTGATTCATAGTCAAGGCTTGTAGGCATTCAAAAGGTTTATTTTCATGAGACTGTGTTTCCTTTTTTTTTTGTTTGGACCTTCTGGTTGATACTTGGTTTTGTACTGTTTGAGAGTGTTGTTCTCTCATCTGATCCATCTTTAATCAATCTCATTTTGAATTAACGAAAAAAAAAAAATCCCAACTTAAAAACCCATATAATACCTTGCCAACTAACTTCTAATCATTCAATGTTTACAACTTAACTTAAACCTCTATTGGCAAGATTTTTGGGGTGGAAAATATGCAATTTCATGTTTTTCACCAAATGAGTCAAGTGACAATGATATCCAATGAGGTTTAAGATGAATATGATAATGATATCTAATGTGACGAACTGAATAAAAAAAATCGATCCGAACTTATAATATATATTTACTATTTAAATTTAATTTGAATTGAATAAAAAATGATTTGAACTGAACAGAACATTACAATTTCAAATCGATTTTCAGATTTTTTAATTTTTTCTCACCCCTACAATGTGCTCTTATATAATTTGCATGTTTGATGTTATTTATTTAAGTGATGAAATTTTTTAATCTTAAATCCCAACTACTTAGATAAGCTCTTTTTGGGGACCAAAGGGAATATTGTAACCTTTAGAAATGAAGGTTTGCATTTAGAATCATGGCAATATAGTAAAGAAATCCTAGTTGAATATTCCAAGAGATTGTGAATTCTCACATGTATTGTTGTTAGATCGAAGCTCAAAAGGTCTTTGACAATGGATTCTTTGATTTCCATCGAGTTCATAATCGGGAGCGACTATTTGGACGTCTATCTTTTCATTTGCATGTCTGCATTGTCAGAGTAGCATGTGCAAAGATTTAGTCAAGGCAAGAAAGAAATTCGTAGGATTTAAGAGTCATATGTCATAATAAGGGTACATGCTATATGTTTGTTTCAGCTGCCTTGTCTCTGATATATCCAAGTCTAAACATATCTTTGTTGCAGAGCAAGAGGCCATATATAATACATCTTAAAGAGCAATAAAAGAAATGATGTAATGAGAGGTTTTTTTTTTTTTTTTTTTTTACATATTTTTTAAGGAAAATTGTAAATAAAGGCTTAACACTTTATTAACACTTTGCATTGGAAACATAGAACCTGTGTTTAGATGAATTTTTGGAAACAATTTCAAAGCCTAGCATGATTAGATCTCAAAGTAAGCAATTATTTCAAAAACACAGTGATACCTTGTTACGTAACATACTGACCATCAATTGAAAATTCATTTTATTAAGCACATTGTTAATCTATTAATTATTCTCAATATTTAATTGTACTACACTGGTTGGTTATCTGCATCGGCATCACATTTATACATGCCAATCTATCATGTAGTCCAATCTGGATTTGTTGTATATAAACTATTTCATGTTTAGCTTCCCCACTGAAAAAACCTCCTCAACAGGTTGCTTCTTTTGTCTCAGCTACTTCCACTGTCATCATCGCAGACGCAAACTCCACTTCCTTTTCAAACTGGCGGTAAGCTCAACATTCTAATAGTAGGAGACAACCTCTAATAGTCTCTAATTTTCAAGCTTAAGCCAGCCACTCTCGTTGACTTTAGAAAAATTTTTTCTCTTATTTAGAATTTCAAAAAAAAAAATTACGCACTCATAATTTTTTAAAAAGTTCATGGGATGAATTTTTATTTATTCATAAATTTGTTATTGTTATTGAAAATTATAACAAATAACCCATTATACAAAAATTTACAATTACTCTAAAATTTTATATTTTATTTTTGTCTTTACCATTTTTTATTTTTTTATAAAAGAAAATAAAATTGTATATCTAAAAATTTAAAATTATATATACATGAAAATAAAACTCAAATAAATTAAATAGTTAAATAAATAAACAAATAAATTATAAAAGTAATTAAAAATTTTACGAAAAAAAATAGTTAAAAATAAATATAAAAAATTAGACTACAATAAATTTTAAAGCACGTGAGTATTGGTCAAAGTGCTTGCCTACTGTTTATTGAAACCGGTTACGGTTTTAGCTTTTTATCAGATTGGATTTGGATCCTCGAGCCAAGTCAAACCTCTTTTACTTTCCTGCTTCTTCACTGCCCTTCTTGTCTTTCTTTTCTATTTCAATAGAGCAAAACTAACAGTTCCCCTTCAAAGCTAGCAACTTCATATTCCAATCCTCTGACCAGTGCCCTTGTCGGGCTTGCAAGCAACAAAATTTCTTTCTTTTCCTTCCGAAATTCCTTCCGAAATCCCCTATCTCTTCTCTTCAAGTCTTCTTCGCTTCACTACTGTCCAACACATGTCTTTCCACTCATCCCTATTATTCAATCGGCAAACAATTATCAATTTCAACAGTGTTGCCGCTGCTGTTGCTGCCTTACAGTTCACTCTATATCTTCTCTGTGTGTTATATGGCCACCAGATTGCTCAGCTTCCTCCGAGTTATATTTTTAATGGAAACAATGTATGAACTTTTTGTGGTTCCTCGTTGTTTATTTTATAAGCAATTAATTTCAATCCAGGATGAAGTCTGTGATCAAAAGTTTTAGTTCCAAGGAGGAATTCTCATCCTAATAACCTGATGTATGTCAATCCAAATCAACTTGAAAGTTTTCCTTTTTTTTTGTTTTTTCTTTGTTTTGCACTTTCCACCTTTTTAAGTTCTGATGATGAGGTTATTAAGAATTATGAAAGGTGAACTTAGACATGTCAATCACTTTATTTTTTCCTTTAATCAAAATGCATTAACTCATTTACATTTTTGTTGAGGATCCATTAAAAAAAGGGGCCAGAGGGAACATGAAAAAGGAAAAGGATGCCATTATTTTTAATTCATGTTAAGGCCAATGCAAGAGGCTACTTTGTTGACGAGAAACTGACATTACAAGTAAACTGATAGAAGATCAACAAGGGTAATCAAGATCTCTTTGATACATAATATAGTATGAATCTGTTTTAGGCTTTGGCGACGTTCTCTTGTTTGCTGCCACTCTTTTGATAATAATGGTAAGCTGCTGCACCAGACAGCACCGCCAGTGTCAAGGCTTGTGCGTGCATCCTATCAAATCAAACAAATTTGAAGATCAGTAATTGACACAAAAAATTGCTGATAAATATGCAAATTGAGCTAATCAGTTTGGTTAGGCATTTAGACTTGAAAAAAAATATGGTACCTGGCATGAATAAGCCTCAGACTTGGCTTAAGATGAGTTCTTGCACGAGTATTATAAGCCAGTGATGCCCCAATTGCTGATGCCCACAATGCTCCTGTAAAACCCAATATTGCACCATATCAGAAAAATGAAACACGAAAAAAAAAAAGAAGAGTGAAAGAAAAAGACTTAAACTGACCAATGCTGGTCAGCTTGTGCTCTGAGACCCATGACCGAATTGCCTCCATCTTCTCCATTCTGAGTATCCCTTTTCACTTGTTATAATCTGGAGTGATATATGGTTCGAAAACTAGACTGAGATTTGGAAGCAAAGGGAGGGCAGGCAATTTATAGATGTAAGTGAGATGATGTTGAGATATATGCCTTTTTTTTGTGTGTTTGGTGGTGGCCCCTGGATTTTGAGTTTCACTTTTTCTTGGAACATTGGATAAGGTTAAACTAGAGGCTTTCACTTGGCTGGACTCCCAATTCTTTGACATGTGCCTCCCTTGATGCTGTGGGCCATTTTCATTACAACCTGATAGAAATCTACGAGCTGAGAGATTTGCCGACTTTGGTCAATCTCACTAGGTGGTGGGTATGATCCAATGGGGTTAGCTGCATGGCTAGCACAAGGGTCAAATGCCATTCTATTAGTTAAATTTCTGATAAAAGAGCAGCCCATTGGATTGGTTTCTGAGCTCAAAGCTACACATTTTTCTTGTTGGAATTAGTAAAGACTTTATCAAAGCTGTACATTTTTCTTTGATTAATTCTCATGTTATTACAAAAGCATGGAATCTGCAGAGATATACACGTGCATGCACGATCGACACACAAGAAAATGCTGAAAGGCATTGGAAAAGAATATCTGCTGACCAAGCCAAACACGCCGTTGTTTTAAGCATTGGGATGTAGGTGTTGCTTAAATATTTAACTCTTTCAAAAGTTCAGCTTACCACCGTAAGGATTAAAAATGTAATTGATCGAGTTTTAATCGATATAATATTAAGTTTGAGTTTGAATTTGAGTTCGATTTAAAATTTAAGATTCAAAATTCGATTTGAACTTGATCGAGTTTTATTTTTATAGCTCAAGTTCTATTCAAAATAAAAATTAAGCAATTTGAGCTCGTTTTATTAAACTCGATTAAAATGTAAAAATAAATTTGATTCTTATATTCGACAAAAATTTGATTATTTATACTTGAGTTTGAGCTTAAGCTGAAAATATTTTATTAATTAAAATAATAAATATATATTTAAATATAAAAATTTAATTAGGTTCGTGGATTACTTGAATTAAATATAAGAATGCTCGAATTCGATTCGATCTATGAATTGAACTATTCGAGCTTGAATTCGACTTGATAATAATCGAGTCGAATTTAAATTTTATTTATATCGAACTCAAATAACTTGCAAGTATTAATGTATTATTTATATTCCTAATCAAGATACAATGCAATTGTGTTTAGTAAAATTGAATCGAACACTGTCAAATTTTTTTTCTAAATGTTTTATTTTTTACTTAAAACACTAATTAGGTTTGTAGGCTAAGTTGTTTAATGAATGAGATAAGATATTATGCGTTTTTACAGATAATATCACTTACAAAATTTTTTTTAAAATTAATCAATTAAAATTTCAAAATTTGTCAAAATATAATATAATGAGAAGTTTATGATAACATTTTATATATATTTTTATTATGATTATATATATAATTGTAAAACTATAACAAAAAGAATTATATGTGAAAATCTTCTCACTTTCATAATTAATGCTAAACGATGAGTTATTGGTCAAACTTGAATTTAAATTTAATTTTTATTAAAAAAATACGAAATAATTTTTAATGTTTTGAAAAATCTTTTTGTTTCTAATAGAGGAATGAGAAATGAAGAAGGATATGTCTATGATAAAGTCTTTCTCAAGGAGAATGGATTAGAACTTACATTACTATCTTCTTATTAGTCAATGTACAAGAAGATAAAATGATCAATGAAATTTATCTTTTTAAATATTCCTTTTTACTTTCATTAATAACAGTAAAGATGAGAATATATTTAATCTTTAAAGAATTATTTAATATATCAACAATGAAATTTAAAGCGAAATTATATATCTTATTAAAGTATAGTTAAAAAAATTGATAAATTAATATAATAAATAATTAGACAGGCGATAATATTTTAATCTCGATTCATAGATATTTTGAGATTTAACGATAAGATGATACAAAATGAATACAATATGTAAATATGATATGAAGATAATACAATTTAACATTTTAGTAATATCTATATATAAGTTTAACATAATTAATAAAATATATTTTATATTTTCATATCAACACGAATTATAACATATAATTTTTAAATAAATAAAATATAAATATATAAATTTTAATATTTTACATGAGTTGAGTTTAATTTTAAATTCAATTTATCCAAAATTTTAAAACCAATTCTCAAACCCAACAAAATGAACCCATGAGACTAGTTTTTTTAGCCCATTTATTGAATCCTTGGCTGCCCCAAATATTTTGACGGTTACCAACAATTCCATCCATCATTTTCATGGCCCACTAAGCATATAATAAAATGGAGACAGAATCTTCCCGCCAACCCAAAACCAGCCTCATCACTGCCCTCTACAAGGGAAACCCGAAGCTGAAGAATTCTCAGAAAAAACAACAGAAAAATGGAAGATACGAAATCAAGAAGAAACACAAGCAAAAGGAAACCCCTCACTGATCTCAGCAATACAATCCCATCATCTCTGCCTTCTTCACAATCCTCTTCTTCTTCTTTAATCAAACCCCAAGCCAAAACTTCACTCATTTTGCCTCTTGAATCCCTTCTCAACAACCCCAGTAGTAATCTTAATTCTAACTCCAAGTCTACTGCAACTGAATCCACCATCACCGATAATGTTAACAGTGACAAGAAGAAGGAAAAAAGTCAAAATAACAAGGCAAAACCTAGCTCCATGCTGTCCCCGTCGCTAAAAACGCCTTCTGTTTCGGGTAATTTTGATGGGTTCTCGGATTTTTTTCCGGGTTTTATTTGGATTCCTCAATAGTGTTTTAGTTTAGAGTTCTGGGTTGTCTAGGACTTTTAGTTTTTGAATTTGCGTTTTTTGGTTTCTGGCGAATGTTAATTTGTTTTTTTTTAATATTAATGAATTGATTAACATTTTGCAACAAAAGAGTTTTGTGGGTTTTCATCAAATTGTTTTGGTGAATTTTATTTTTTATGATTTTTTCTGCAATAGAGCTTTGTGGGTTTTAACTTTGGTGCTCAGTTTAATTTATATAGAATTTCTTCTACAATAATTCGATGAATTTGAACTAATTTTGATTTTATTAATTTAGTTTCTAGTAGTTTTTGCTGAATGATTCCTTTCCTTCATTTTCAATGCAAGCTACATAGCATTGATTTAATATAATTATCTAGATTCTAGACAGTAATTGTGTGAATTTGACTAAGCTTTTCAGCTATGGAACTACTAATATTTTGAGAAGTATAGTTGAAATACACCCTAGGGTGTGGAAATTATGTGAAGTTGGTGATCTATGTTCCCTCCACCAATTTTTTGACCCTGGTTTTCTGGAGTGGTAGTGTATTTTGGTCTAATGGATTGTACTTTATGGTTTTGATTTTAGGTATTGGTGATTGTGTGGATTTTGAGCCTTGTACAGTTTACAACAGGAGACATACAGCTGGAAAAAGGAACAGTAAAGGGAAGGAAATTGCAGGGCGTTTGAGTTGCTTTTTTGAAACGAGGATGCCAGACTTAAGGTAGTTTCTTTTGATCAGTTTGTGCATTTATTGTTGGTTTGGTACTTGGTCCTTGGATAACTATTAGGCGATGACTCTAGAAGGAAAAAGATACTTCAAATGTGTTAGCTTAATTAAAAGAGTAAATGTATTGATTATCAATGTCGTGGTATGGTAGTAACTGATGCAGTTAAATGGTATTTATACTATTAAATAAAGGATGGAAGTTATCTTCTTCATTTACTCTTAACTCTGTAGATGGTTAGGCTTTAGGCAATAATTCTAAGGCTAGGACTCCAAAAATTTGATCAGTCAAATATACCTGATGTTTGGGCTTTTGATACCTTGACCATATGTTTGGATATTAGAAAGTAGAAAGAAAAAGGCCTAAAATAATTGTTAAATTGGTTTAACTATTGGTCTTTTTATATCCAATTTCATTCATATATCTTCCATTTCCTTTCATAATTGAGTCTTCCAGGAGATGGTGACTGATGAGACTGAAAGACTGTTGTTCCCTCTCGAAACAGTTTTGCCTTAGATGCCTGTGTTTTCCTCAAGTTTTTTAACATCTGTTTACAATTAAAATCATGATATTTTTTAAGCGGTTTTCTCTGAAATTTCAGAAAATGATTTTTGAACACAAAGCGTGGGACATCTAAGTTTAAGGTCTTTGAATTATTGTATGTTGTGATAGCATGTCATATTTCGGTATTGAAAATTATGGTATTGTATATTCAGATATTTAATCTTCTTTACTCTTTTTTTATTCATACTTTCTGTTATCACTTATCAATATTCACCACTATACTTGTTCTGCATTTCATTAATTCAGAAGATCTCTGCTGCTTAATGATTGGTCATATTATGATGATCTTCCATTAAATATTTTCCCTTGTTTACCTCCTTTGTTAAAGCTGTTTCTCTGTGTCTTTAATATAGGAGAAGAAAAGATGGAGATGTTGATATTGGTCTCTTCAAATCGTGTCCAATGCCACGGAAAAAGGTTTCTTTAAAATGCTCCTAGTTTCTTAATTTAATTTGTATTGAATGGATATTGCTCTTTGGTTTGGGATTTTTGGCCTTCATTAAGACAATTTTTTAAAGAGCTCTTTTAGCTTTGAAATGTTTCAGATTTGTATATAAATCCCCATAATTTGATCGAAGTGTTGATCAATGATGCATATCTTTATACTTCTTTCCCTTATCATGATCGCTTTTATTGGCATCAAGATGAGAATTTTGGGACACAGTTAGTGAACAGTTATTAACTCTACAAAACTGGCAGTTGGCAGTGACTCCTTTAAATGATTGTTCTTTTCCTTTTAACTTGTCTAGGGGTGGAAAAAGAAGAAAGAATTGGGGGGGGGGGGGGGGGGGGATGTCTTGGTGCTGATTGTGGTATGGATAAATGCTGCATCAATGAAGTATTCCCCTTTTCACTTCATGGAATCAATTTCTCTCCAAAATAACTACATTCTGTCTGTTCTTGAAACATTATCTCATCAGGAATTTTTGTTAGTGTCTGTGCTATTTGAACTTGTCATCCATTTTCTGCTGGAATTGGGCCAGTACTCTATGGCATTTTTAGACCACTCTTGCTTTTTGCACACAGCTATAGAGTTGGATTTAACAAAACACATGATGAAGCATGCTTTCAGGAAGCAAAACAGCGATATCATGCCACTTTTCTATCTGCAAAGTCCTTTTTTTATTTTTTATTTTTTTTGCTTTAGTTATATTATTAGTATTAGTTATTATATATTGTTGTTTGCATTTGCATTATGTCATATCGAACTTTTGTCTCTTTGAAGCTTTTTTCTTCCTTAAGCATATGCACCCTTGAAGATAATGTTATTAATATGTATTAAACTGAGCTTATTTGTTTGTGATGTCACCGCAGAAGCAGCGCCAAGAGAAGGCTGAGGTAAATGCCTCTAAGCATGACTTGCCCCAAGATTTCATTGACAAGCATAGAGCATATTTTGCAGAGGTTGATGCATTTGAACTGGAAGAGGAGGTGGCATCAGCTGATGAGTTGGAATAGATGAAAAAGTATATAACTGTAAGATTTAGGATAATGCAATTCAGGTGCTCTAACCCAGTAATATTCTCTGTATATGGTTACCTACAAATTTTGCTGTAATAACCACCTTACCTAGCTATATCTGATGCTTGATAGTCTTCCCCATCAAAATCTAGTGTATTCACTGGTCATCACCTTGATAGTCTAGTTTACAGTAGTGTTAAATTGTTTTTGACAGTTTATTTTTCTATGTTTAGAAAAATTGTATTTCATACTAAGCATACTCTGCTGAGTCTGGCATTGACACATGGGCTTGATTTCTTTGCAATTGTGAATTATTGATATCATCTTGTTATTGAGGAAATGCCTGCAAAATCTGTTTGTTGACCAAAAGATTGGATTCTATTCAAGTTTTTGCTTTGTACTAGCAATAATGCAGGCTGTGCAGCAATACTGTTGTCCCAATCAGCCATGCTTGAACCCTTTTGCCTCTGCATAGAAAAGGCTTGGATCTGACTGTTTTGGTTGGGGTGAGGAAGCCTACTGAAAGAAAACTTTTTTCCCCATATTGGGGGTTAAATAAGCCTAGTTTATTAATTTCTGTCCAATATGTTAAATACTAAAGTACGAAAGGCATGTTATTGGGGCTTCTGCTGAAAGCCTGAGGTTCCTTCGCAGTCCAGGGAGCCTCGAGTAATATTTATCTTACCATAAACAAAAGAAACTTAAGGCTGCACCGTCAAGATTAATGCAGCCTGATCATTGTAGAGGGTGAAACTCTGTTTACTTTCTTATAGTATAGTGTTAATCCTAATCATACCCACATAATTCACATATTTCAAGGCTTTAAGCAATCAGGAAACTTAGAAGTAAATTTCACTTTGTTATCAATTGCTCATTAAGTAGCTTTCTATCAGTTACAATGTCCTATAGAAGTGATGTGAAAATACCTATTGTTCATCACTTTTTTTTTTCTAAGTTCGGAATAATGAGACTGACAATTGTTATGGAAATGGTTGCCATAATGCTTCTGGACACATAATTTTTTTTGCAGTTTCTTCTTACATTCACAGTAGGTAATTTCAAATGAGTTTTCCGCAATTGGTCCTTATCTCTCCAGAACTTCCTGTAAGAGGCTTGATGTTGCCAGTTTTGATCATAGATTAGTCCAAGTCCTTGAAAAATTCACAAGTATCTGCAGCATACTTTGTTACCAGAGAATCAACAGAAGTGCCAATAAAGAACCCTTGGTCAGAACGGATGAGACCCTTCATCTTCAACAAGTTGTGGAAGTACAAATTATCAAAACGAGTTGGCGTCTGGAAATCAAGGGTTTGAGGCCAATCATCTTTTCCACGTTTTGGGCACTTGAGCTGCAAGGATTTGGCGAATGAGGGACCGATGTTAAGAGTCATTGTAGATGTGTGTTTGAAACGTTGTGCACCTTGCCTGGCTAATAGTGTCTGAACCTGCCATTCAAGATGATCCATTAATTTGTTCATGCGATAATTGGCATGCTTAAAAGTTACATGATCAATCAAAGAAAAGGATTGGTCATATGGCTTCCCTTTTATTTTTCTGTCAACATCCCTTTGCTACAAAATTGAGAAAAACTGTATAAGATCATTCTTGAAATAGTGCAGTGTATGCCAACTTAGAGTCTCTTTAGCTGAAAGTGCCGCCAAATCTTGCAATGAAAGTCCTTGAGCAGCAAAGCTTGATAGGAGAGCAATTATATAGAAATTGGGTCCAGGAATGAAGTTGTTTGCAGCAGCCTTGCTAGCAGTGGTAAAATCCCTTCTCCCTCGCTTTACTTTCCATGAAGGACCCCCTAATGTAGTCATGGCATTTGGCAGGTCTAGCTTTCGAATCCCAAAACCCGCAACCCTTTCCTCTTTTCCCAAACTACACCCTCCTCTTTACAAAAAAAAAAAAAAAAAAAAAAAGAAAGAAAAATTATGGACTTACTTTGACAATCGAATCATGAGCTGCGTGCTTACTTTAAATTTAGCTTTAAGGTCATCAACCACATCGAATCCCCTAACAGAGTTATTGCTTGTTAACGCAGTCTTCTCACCTATAAAGGTGGCATTATCATCGAACATAATCGATCCATCGCAGCCCTACTCATTTTCATCATCGAATTCACTTTGACTGGTTAAACTGCATGAGGCTACGACATAAACAAAGGTTATGAAACATTAACAAAGCAGTCATGGAAATGCAACCGAAGCAAAGATGCCCCATCCGCAGTTCCATTTTTATAGCAGCTGCTGCTACTACTGCTTCAACAATGGAAGGTACGTTGGGGCAAGTGGATTTGTAGTAGTCAGAGCACAGTTTGCCATGGCCATCAACAGATGCATCGGCAACAATAAAGATAAGCAGGACTTAACAAATAACAAGCAGCCATCCAATTCTTGTAAAATCTTAGATAGAAGACAATAGGTTTTTGCTTCAAAACTACACAAATTGTAACAGCACCTTTAAGCCTAATATAGCTTCATATCTTCATAAAGGATAAATACTTCTATATTTTCTCAGAAATTTAGTGATGGGTATTAACTAAAAAGTGTAAATACGTAGCTTCATACACAAAGGTGATTATAAAGTGCTTAAAGTTTTTCTCTATTAATTTCAATTCGACTTTGAATGTTTAGCCTAATCCAATGGACTTAAAGGGTTTAACAACTCATAAAAAAGATCTACAAAGAATCAACACAGACACGCAATACGGATATAATACAATTCGAATACAGTGACATTGCAATATCTAAAAAAGAAGGATATGGATACAAGAAGACGCAATAATAAAAAATATTTTATATATTATAATCATCAATTAAGAATATACGATAGATGTACGATAAATGTTGATTGATTTTTAAAAGAGAATAACCTTTTTAAAGAAAAAGTGATGGTAGACATGATAAAAAAGAACATAGGGTGTCATTGTCAATATCAGAACTACTCTTTTTTTTTTTTCCTTATCCGGACAACTTTAATGTCTATACCTATACCCATACTGAAAGCGTCAAATTGTCAAACACAAATAATATAAAAGTATACAAAGAATTAAAATATGTTCAATGTGACACTTCAATTTTATAATGAGATAATTTGAAATTTTACAATGATATATATAAGTTTAAATATAAATTGAGATATTTTTATGAGACAAAATTGTAAGATTTTTGAATTAAAATGTATAATATTTTATAAGTTATATGTGAATCTTCATAAATAATATCAAAACAGTCATCAATTAGAAAGAAGCTAAATATTATATTATGAGAGTTATTTTTAAGTGTTATATCGTGATAGTTATTTTTAAGTGTTATATTATGAAAGTCACATCTAAAATTTTAATGTACTGTATGATCCTATGAACTTGTGTGATCTTATGATCTATGTATATTTTGTGTTGAGTTTACTTGATATTTTGTGTGATTTGGTAAATCTGTGTGCCTTGTGTGATTTATATATATTTTGTGTTAGATTTGTTTAACGTTTGATGTGATTCGATGAATTTATATATTTTGTATTGAATTTAATGAAAATGTTAACTTTAACGAGAACATTTGTGACATTTTAATCTTATATCAAAATAGTATGAGATCTGGTTATGATATATATATATATATATATATATGTAGAGTGATCTAAACTTAAACTTATAATATTTTTTTTAAGATAAAATTATAAAATTTTTGAATTAAAATAAATAATATCTTATAAGTTAAATACGAATATTCACATTTACATTTTATAAAAAATGATATTTTCCTTTTACGTTGTACGAAAAATGGTTCCCATCATATATATAAATTCCCACCCATATTAAGGTGAAGCTTCCTTAGAAAGTTCATTAGTATAACAAAAAATGGTTATTTCAGCAGCTTTTACTCTTTCTGGATCGATTATGAGCACTTAAATCTGTTATTTCCTCCTAAATAATGGGTTAATATTCTCATTGGCTTTCTTTGAAAATTAGGCCATGGGGAAGAAATTTTGTTTTGCTTAATGGTCCTCAAATTATCCACTTCAGGGAACTTTAAAAAACTCATTGGTTTCACTTCATATTCATTGATGGTCGAGTAGAGGCAAAGGCTTTCAAATCACTGTCTCAATAATCGCCTAGTTTTTTTGCCTTTGATGCTTCTATTAAGCCAGAAAAAGAGGAAACCATCTATGAACTTTATTGTGGTAACGATGCCATTGGGGCCATTTTTAAGCAGAATCTCTGATATTTATTCCAACTGCAATGAACTGGCTGTTGATATGAATTGATCACAGGAAGAAAAGAAAGAAGTTAAAACTGACAAAGACTCAAAGCAGTGAGAACCCAAACCTTAGAAATAATCAACTTACAGCCAGAGTTCATACCATGGAATCTTTTTTTTTTCTTTTTTGAATTGATTGAAACAAGTAAAATTGAAAGGAACATAGGACTTATTAATCATCTTTAAATATAACATTAAGCAAGTTTGAAATCACATCTCAGTGTCTGCGTTTATTTCTCTGTCTCAAGCTATGATTTTTTTTTATAAAAATCGCAGTGGATGTGCTTATTTGGAATTGTTATCAACTCAACTGAACTGGTGAACTCTTAATTCTCCAAACTAATTTGGGTCAACTATATTTATGAACAACCTTTATTTCTTAAACTAGCAGATAATTTTGCATTCAAATTCACCATGATCGTCACTGCTCAAGTACAATGTGATATCTACCAAGGCTGCAAGGTAAAAGAAAGCACTGCATCAAGTCTCTTAACAGCTACGAATTGTCAGGTTTTTTTACCATATCCTTCCAGGCTACAGAACTCTGGCTGTTGACATTTCAAGTCATTGTTATTGTTATGAATAAAGAAGAAAGGTTGCTAAAGCCAATATCATTGGCGGGCTACCATTCAGCTCCCAGTTGTAGACAAGGACTTGAATTTTGGGACTCGAAACTTCAATTTGAAGATATGAATTTTGGGCAAAAGCCCTTAAGGCAAGCCCATCATCAGGTGGCTCATATTTGCTGCACCACACATATATTAACTGGCCCATCATTGCATACCCAGGTTGTTTCCTGTATATAGAGCTAACTTGACCCAAAGTTATGGCTTTGTCCTTTTTGTGATCCATTGTATTGTCGTATTAGGTGAGGCAAGAACTGTGTGGATATTGAACAAGTTTTGAACAAGTTTTCTACTATTCTTCTTTTGTCAATTGCAATTTATTTATAAAAAAATTGTAAAGTTTTTCAATTAAGGTTTTTTTGTAATGTAGTGATGGATAATGAAAATTTTTTTTTGACCAACTTGTATTTGGAGTTGGCAACGGGTTAGATCGAGACGGATTTTTGCTCGTTCCGAACATGATCCGACTTTATATATCATCAAATCCGAATCTAACTTGATACTATATAATTTGTATTCGATTTGAAATTAATAAAATATTATTTTTAAATATAAATATTTAAAAATATAATTATATAAATATATATAAATAAAAAATTAAAAAAATAAAATTTTTTAATATAATATCAAGTCGAATTTGTCTAAAATCCGAATTAACTCGACCCAAAACTTAAATTAAAAAAAAAATTCTATCCTACGAATTTAGATCGGGTCAAAATTCGTCAGAGAAGGATTGGGTTGCTGGCCCTACTTGTATCTTGATTTGAAGCTCTAACTTAGGTGGTCCTTTGCTAATACTTAAGTTTTTAATTACCGACAAAATGAAATCACAGATGAAGCAAAAAGAGACGATATGTAAGACAAAACCATGCCTGTTTGTTTGAGAACTTGAGATCCATCTGGCAACCACCTTCTCCAAGCTTACTACTCGTGGGACGAAGCCATCATGAGATTATGCTTAAAAAAATCCGTGGTGCCTTCACTGTGTTTATACAATAGACCTAATATTTCCACCCTTTTTTCTTGTTACCAAGAAGATAAAGATTCCTAGTTATCTGTTTAAAATGCTTATCTCTTTCTGTAGCCACATTATATCTCTTCATTGGCTGAAGCTGCACATTTTTCCTTGTCTTTTTACCTTTCGGACCCACTTGATGAACTTGAATTATTTTTTTTCATTCAATTGCAAATTTCTTTTTCCAGTTAGCTACCACTTACTTTTTCCATGTTAAAAAGGGTTTGATTCTATCATGTATTATTATATATTTTTTGATACAAAAAAGGTCGTAAACTAAGGATATCGAAAGATGTTATAAGTGTTGGGATTTAAACTAACTAGCTACATGCCACCTACTTACATGAATTAATTTAGTTAAGTTTTGAATTCATATATCATAATATATTCACACCCTCATATTTTCACTATTCTTCCTTTTCTTGCATATGCTAAAGATAATTGCTCTTAATTTAGCTGGGATTCTCTCTTACAAGCTTTAATTTCAAAAATTATTCATGATTAGTTTGGCACCACTCCTGCAACTTGCAATGCAGACAAGTAGAGACAATTCAACGCCAGCTAGAAAATTTGATGGTTCAATTGCAATCTTATGGCGAAAGATGGTCAAGCCTAATCTGATAATGAGCAAAGAATCTTTAATTTGGCGCATGTCTTAATTAAAATTTTCTTCCCTTTACTGTAAAGAAAACGTCATTAATAGGTCAATATATAATCTGCAAGATCTAATCACTGCTCAGGCACCTATCATTCGACAAAACATAGTTGAGCACTTTACCCTTACTATATTCTTCACCATGAACCAGAAATCTTGAAGCTCACTGAAGAGGAATATACCATATGTCTTTTATCATGGATTTTGTAATACAATTTGACAGCCTTTACAACTTTCAATAGAACAGTACATTATGATTCTCCTTTGGACTTCCACCATAGAAATTCCAATGCGTGATACTTGAATCCCTGATGGGGCTTTCTAATTGTTTCTCCACCGTTATTGGACATCCAATTTGACTAATACTACCTTATAATCACAATCTCAAGTAGTGGGACTTTTAGGGATGTCAAGGTCAATGTTTGTCAAGCATTGGATTAATCAGAAACCAAAAAATTAAAGACTAGTTGCTTTCAGTTTTTGTCCTCGTGTGAATGCAGCAGGAGAGTGACTATAAGTTTTATGC